TAATGCACAACAATGTAGAAAATTTTTACTAGTTAAGCTAAACTATTATTATCATTTTTTTAAGTTTTATTGTGATTTGGATAAAAGTTTACAGAGCAAATTCCCTTTCCATACAGCAGCTCACATATACTTTGTCTCATACCATCTTATCACCAATTTTCCAATTATGTTCCTTCTGAGTTCCTGACCATCCAGCCAACCTATTGGCCACAGTCCACGAATCATGCACAATTTGCACATTTGGCCATCTCTCCTTCCAGGAAAAATGAACAACCAGATACTCTGCTCAAAGTTCTACTCACTAGAAAAATTTCCCTTTACCACTGTCCTTCAAGGAGGTCCCAAAAAAGGAGCTGCAGTTCTGCCACTGTCCACTTCCTAGTGGTGCTTGCATATTGTGCAGAACCATCTGTAAACTAGTCATGAGTTTTTCTCCTCCTCAGTCAATTGATCATAAGAAACTCCCCATGAAGCCACAGGTGAAGGAAGATAATATGACAGGATTGGAGACATAGGCATTTGGGTTACTTCCTTATGTAACTTATATATTTGTAGACTCACAAGTGGACTTACACTCCCCAATTTTTAAATATATTATACAGCTACAGCAATCAAAATCACCTGCTAATGGTAGACAATAGGCATACATAGACGAATGAAATAGAATTGAGAGTCTAGAAATAAACCCACACATCTACTGTCAACTGATTTTAGACAAGGGTATAAGGCCATTTAATGAGAAAAGAAGAGTCTCTTCAAAAAATGGTGCTGGCAAAATCAGATTTCCACATGCAAAATGAACCAGGATCTATGCCTTATACTATACACAAAAAACAAATTCAAAATGGTTTAAGGACCTAACTATGTAAACTAAACCATAATATGCTTAGAAGAACAAGCAGGGGAAATGCTGTCAGGCCTAGCTTTCAATAATAGATTATGTAATATAATAACAAAAGCACAAATAGTAAAAGACAAAATAAATATAAATAGGACTTCATAAAAATTAAAAATGTTTGTTCATCAAAAAACTGTACCAAAAAAAAGTAAAAAGACAAGCAACCAACTGGGAAAATATCTTCCTGAAACCATATAACCAATAAGAAGCTAATAAGCAAAAAATATATAAAACTTTGAAAACTTAACAACAAAAGGACAGATAATCCAACCATAATATGGGCAAAGGATTTGAATTCAAATGGATTTGACATTCAAATGGCCACCAAACACATGGAAAGATGCTGTCTTTAGCCATCTGAGAGATGCAAATCAAAACCAGAATGAGATACCATTTCACTTTCATTAGGATGGCTTAGATAAAAAAACAAAAAAATAGCAAATGTTGGTGAGAATATGGGGAAACTGGAACCCTTATCCACTGCTTGTGAGAATACAAAATGGTACAGTCATTTGTGGTAATTCCTTGAGAAACTAAAAATAGAACTACCATACAACCCAGCAATTCTACTCCAAAAGGCTTAAAAAGCAGAGATTCAAAAGACATACATCAATGTTCACTGCAGCACTATTCACAATAATCAAAAGGTGGAAACAATCTAAACGCCCATCAACAGATGAACAAAATCTGGTACATACATACAATGGGATACTATTCACCTAGTAGGAAAACGAAATCTTGATAGATGCTACAATATGGACAGAGCTTAAAGACATTATGCTGAGTGAAATAAGTCAATCATGAAAGGACAAATATTGTATGATCTCACGTATATAAAAAGACAAGAAAAGGCAAATGTATAGACACTAAAGTTTATCAGTGGTTACCAGGGGTGGGAGGAAGAGGGGAAAGAGGGTTTAATAGAGTTGGAGAAATCACTGTGGTAAAGGTAAGGTTTCACAACAGCTTATTATAATTGCTGTCAATGAGTTGTACACCTGTAAAAAGGTGAATTGGCAAAAGCTGTGTGATACATACATTTACAACAATGACCAAAAAAAAAAAAGAGGAAGCAACAGCAGCAGCTGAAGAAGAAAGAAAGAAAGAATAGCTATTGAGCCTTCTTATGTACAACCAAACACCTCATGGGATTTGGTTACTTGGTTTGGAAGTTTAGGTTTCATGAGACATCCCCATTAACTGGCCTAAAAATATGTTGAGTGCTTCTGTCCTACTGCCTAGTTCATTGCATAGTGCCTGGAAACTTAAAAGCTTGTAAGAAGCCATCCAAGAAACAACTGGTCTCTTCATCCGGAGCAACAGAAGAAGGAAAGTCACAAACAGGAGGAAGATATGGTATGTGTGGTTAATTGCCTCCATGAACAATTGCCTCCTTTGCCATGAGACCAGAATAACTGGATGTGCTCAGCTACCATTACTGAACATTCTGATCAAATATCCCGGAAGAATCCCGATAAAAAGGGGGAAACACAGAAAAGAATTTCAAATTCTCATGGACTTTTTAACTTTCTGAAGCCATGGAAGCTGGATGAATCCTTGAACCTCCTGCCTGAGATCATCTTTAAACCTTAAGCCAAAAATATCTCCTGAAGTCATCTTAAAACGATTCAACAGTTTAAAATTACTAGTAAAAAATGTCTGCCTTTAACATTATGCTCTTTCAGGAACTGTCTATAACGGATCAAATTGACAAAAGCAACTAGGAAGATGATACAGGAACTTTAGAGCGCAGTGAATCTATATTAATGGGGGAGGAAATACATTAATGGGGGGGGAAAGAGGGTGAGAATAGTTGCATAACTCAAAGAATGCAATCAGTCACTAAATGGTATGTGTAGAAACTGTTGAACTGGTGTAAGCTTTGCTGTGCATATTCTCAACAACAATAAAAAATAGAATTTAGAATGGAAAAAAGCATTAAATAGGAAGTGAAGAATTGTAGACAGGACATATAAACGTGGCACTGATTGGAAAGAAAAATATAACAAAATGTTATGTGAAAAACACTGCAAATTATAAAGCACTCTGACTAAAAGAAAGTCCTTTCCTCTTCCTTGACTTTTTGAAGGTTTGCTACCATAAATTAAAGATATATTTACAAAATTCAAAGTTTATTTATTGAAATAAACATTCATGTTCCAAGACTCTATGTTTAAGAAATCTTCAAAATTCTAAAATAGTCATACTATAGTTTTTAGTAACTTGAAAAGGGAGAGGAATATAATCTCACAAAAGTGATAACTGAATTAAATTATAAAGTCTTTAAATCAAATTTGCAACTGTTGCTACCAATAGATTTAAATAGGCAAATGGCTTTCACCCTTTAAACAAGTAAACTTATTCCCATCAACCTCAAAATTCAATCAACCTCTTTTTATGTACCATTTAACAAAATTCCATTTTTTAAAAAAAATGAATATGGAGGTTCTACTATAATACATCAGATAAGGGAACAATGTAAGAATTAAAAGGAATGTTGCTATGCATCCCCAAATTTATTCTAATACACACACACACACACACATGACCCACATATATACTTCCAAACTCAGTAGGCCTTAACAGAACTAAGAGAACTGGCCAGAATTAGAAATGTTTTGGGAAAAACTCACGATTTACCAAGGCTACTGCTTTCCTGAATCAACATGAAATCATTCCTCATCACCACACTATTTTCCACAATAGCAGAAAAATTGATCTAAATTTCTCAGTTTAATTACACTGACTCCTCACTTACTATCATGTTATCCAACATTTCCCATTTACTACAACAGTAAGCCATCTACTATCCAACTATTTTGTGCATTAACAACAAACATCTGGTAGTAACAAATGCCAAGGTACAAGGTGAGGGTATAGCTAGATGTGATGGTTAAGGATATGTGTCACCTTGGCTGGACTATGATTCTCAGTGATTTGCCAGTTATGTAATGATGTAGTAGTGATCCTCCACCTGTGATCTGCTGTGGTCACCCTCCATTTCCACATAATGCCAATTTTCACATAATGACTGGTCTTTGAAAACTAATCCTCGGTAAGTGAGAAGTGGGTGTATAATTACAACCCGTAGAACTCAACAAAAACTGCACAATAATTATGACACAAAACTTTATCAGTCTCCTTTCAAATATTATTCAAATTATACATTATTAAAACAGCAAAGTGTCAACACTCATGCCAACTATGATTAGGTAAATCCTATTAAACGCAGCTACATTTGTAATTTACAATGTTACCATTGTAACACTGTAAATATTAAGAGTGCAAGTGTGAAATTAGAACACTAATTATATATTTTTAAAATAGGGACTGCAAAGTGAATTTGAATCAAGATATATACAATCAACCAACAGTTCTCAAAAACTATCTTTAAAATTAAAATAAGGCTGTAGTATAGAGAATGTTAAATATTCAGTAACTGTATTTCATACATCTCCCAAATATAGTCCTAGATTCCTAATGCAGCAATGATTGAAGGCAATTTGTATGTGGTAACAACACTGCCCCTAGATATTATTTATGTCATGTACTAATATATCAGTTTTGTTTTGTTTTTTCCCCTAAAAATATCAACACAATATAAAAGAATATACATTCTGAGTTAGAATGGCCATTGCAGGTTGGCTACAAAGTTGTAACCTATATACCAACTTTGTTTACCTTTGATGCCAGTATAGAAACAATATAATTTTAAAAAAAGAATCATTCTTTAGAAATTTAACTTCAAATTTATTTTGTTTCTAAACTAACCTAATTAAATTTTATATTTGTTTCATTCACATAATTACAAAGACAAAGTTTACTTCAAAAACAGACAAAATAAATTCTATCTTCAGGACTAAATATGAAGTTCATTAAAAATTCTCTAAAATAGGGATTTCAAATCTAGAAGAACAGTTCAAGTAAAGTTGATTCTGCATCAAGAACATAATGAAAATATAAGCATAGATTGGATTTTTTTACATACAAAATCAATTTTACTAAAAGTTTAAAATATTCTTTGATTGATCCTTATGTGCAATGATGCTTTAGATGAGATTTAAGTAGTTTCAAATTAAGCCAATATTTAAGAGCTACTTACAATCCAGAAGGCAAATTACTGGCTGCAGTCATACCAAATGAATACTGCATAATTTCAACGAGGATAAAGTCAAACAAGGCTGACAAAAACCAGGAACCCAGCAAAAAGGACTAAAAAATAAAACAGGAGAAAATTATAGAGATGAGACTCCAAAAACCAAACTAAATTATTTAGTTAGTTAGAACCAGTTCAGGTATATTTAAAAAAAAATTGTTGTTATTAGAACAAGCTTTTCAGAATTAGAACAAGTTTTCAGGGAGTAAAACTTTTTGTTCAAATGCATTAACTTCTATAATGTCTAAGTATGTTATAGAAATAGCATTTATGGCACTACCTATTTTAATAAGTAACATATAAAACACTAAGCAAAATAAGTGATTAGAATTTTATTAAAATCAGTCCTAACTGGAACTTTTATTATCCACTCACAACCAATATTATTCTATTATTATTTTAGTACGGTAACAGTTTAAATTTTTAAATTTTCTTTGGTTAATATCCATCCATACTCCAAATCACACAGAGGATCATATAATTTAAAATAATACCTGGTTTAACAAGATATTTAAAGATTTATTTAAAAATAAGGAAAAAGAAAACAAATGTTTTTCTATAACGTAAACAGCAAAGACAAAACAAACAAAACTTACTGCAAATTTTCGGCTGCCATATCTTCTTTCAAATATCCTAAAATTATAAATAAGCAGACTACTGCAGAAAGTATCTTTCAAATCAAGGCAGATTATTCTTCCACATATCAACCTCCAAATCTACATAGGGATTAAAAAGAACAATAAATAGAAATAAAAACTCTTTGGGTTTCTTCCTTAGCAAACTTATTATGTTTACTTTGTACTTGTTATTTTTTAAGTTCTAATTTGAAGCATATTGATGTACACATAAAAGGAAAAAACTACATTTATGTTTTCCCTAAGAAATCAAGGAGCTCTGGTGGCATAGCGCATAAGACATTTGCTGCTAATCAGAAGGTCAACAGTTCAAACCCAACAGCTGCTTCTTTGGAAGAAAATGAGGCAAACTACTTCCATAAAGGATTACAGCCTTGGAAACCCAATGAGGGTCACTGTAAGTCAGAATCGACTCAATGGTAGTGAGTATGGTTTTTTGTTTTGTTTTCTCCCCTATGAAAAATTCCTTCCTACACAGTACAAAGGCTACTTTTAAAATGTTTGCTTATTATAGCAAGAAAATGCTTCTAAGACAACATAAAACTTTCTGTAAAATATTTTTTAGGACTATATTTAAAATTTAAATACACACACACACACATAAACTAAAAATATATATATACACACACACACACACACACATACATAAACTGGAATAAAAGGCTATGAAATGTTCTTTTTTATGCTACTGCATAGAACAAAACTACACCTGAAAAATAATTTAGGAATAAACTCAAAAATATAAATCTCTTTAGTTTTAAAGATCAACTTACTTCACAGTAACTTTGTACAAGACAATTTATGGCAACTGTTGCTAAATATTAAGGACCTCTAGTGGTATAGTGGTTAAGGCATTTGGCTGACAACCAAAAGGTCAGTGGTTCAAACCCACCAGCTACTCCATGGAGAAACATGCAGAAGTCTGCTTCTGTGAAGATTTACAGCCTTGGAAAACCTGTGGGGTCACTATGAGTCATAATTGACTCGATGGTAGTTGGCAGTGAGTTTGGGTTCTTTGTTTGGTTTTGAGTTGCTATATATTACTAGGTCTAAAATTTTATAACTTTTTTATTTTAATTTTTATTATGATGTGGGTGAAAGTTTACAGAGCAAATTAATTTTCCATACTACCACTCGCATATACTTTGTCTCATGACATTGACTACAACTTCCCACAGTGCAACAGCCCCCCTCCCATAGTTCCTGCCCATAGTTACCTCTTCTCTGTGTTCAGAATCCCTCCCATGCACTCTTGCCCCACCCCCCAAGCTGTCTCCCTGCCCATATACAGTCCCTCTATTCTCCCATGACTGACCTCTCCAAGGAGTATATCTACCTAATGCAAATGTTCAGCTCATAGGTCTGAGTTTTGTTTGGCTGGAAGCCACAGGAGTAGCAGACCTGAAGGGCAGCTAGGGGTCCATAGTCTCAGTGGTTCCAGCAGGCTTTATCAGACCACCAAACCTGGTCTCTCTTTTTTTTAAAATGATTTTGAGTTTTGTTCCACATTGTTCTCCTACTCTATCCAGGATCTCCTACACGGATCCTCTTCTAAGTGGTTGACAGTAGTAGCCAGACACCACCTAGTTCTTCTAGTCTCATAGTCATATAGGCTGAGGATCACATGGTGTACTAGTTGCTTGGACTAATTGTTTCCATGCTTCTTTGGTTTTCTTCATTCTTCTTTGCTCTGGAAGAGGAGAGACCCATCGTTGTATTTAGATGGCTGCTTGCAAGTTTTTAAGATCCCAGTCACTACTCCCCAAAGTAGGATGTAGAACAATGTTTTTGTGTAGTATGTTATGTCAAATGATCCTGATGTCCCCTGCGACTATGATCCTGAACCCACAGGTCCAACTACTCACTCCCTCCAATTAGTTGGCTGTGGCCAAGAAGGAACTAACTACAACCTTGTCTCTTGTCAGCTCTACTGTATACCTGGGAATTCTTACAGAACATACAAATACACTTGTAGAAACACTGTCTGCTAACCCTACACAATCATGGGCACATTCCCCTCCGCATAGACTTAACTAAAAGTTCAGCCTGTCCATGTTTGCCCTCACTGACAACACAGTAGTGCATGTGCAAAAGGGTTCATCTTTCCTGTCTGTACCTCCCATGAACCTCTGTCTTCCTCTTCTTCAATACAACCGTGCTGATCACTCACATTTGGTACACTGCCCTTTACTTCCCCAAAATCAATACTTGTCTCTACCGATCTAACAGTTTCCCACCCCTGGTAACCAACAAAGAAAATATGCTTCCATAAATAAACCTTTCCTTGACTTTTCACAGTAACAGACTAATACAATATTTGTCCTTCTGTGATTGATTTATTTCACTCAGCATAATGTCCTCCAAGTTCATCCACGTTATGCGGTGTTTTGCAGATTCCATGTTATTCTTTAGGGTTTGCATTCCATTGTGTGTATGTACCATAGTTTGGTTATCCATTCTTCCATTGGTGGGTATCTAGGTTGTTTCCATTTTTTTCTATTGTAAATAGTGCTGCAATGAACATGGCTATCTGTATCTATTCAAGTCCTGGCTCTCACTTCTTTAGGACACATACCTAGTAATGGAATTGCTGAGTTCAATGGTATTTGTAATTACAATTTCTTAAGGAATTGCCATATTGCTTTCCACAGTGGTTGTATCATTTTACAGTCCCACCAGCAGTACATGAGAGTCACAGTCTCTCCACATCCTCGCCAGCATTTGTTATTTTCTGTCTTGTTGAACTTGGCTGCTAGTGCTGGGGCAAGATGGTATCTCATTGTTCTTTGATTTGCATCTCTCTCATGGCTAACGATCAAGAGCATTTCTTCATATGTATGTTGGCCACCTGAATATCCTCTTTGGTGAAGGGTCTATTCATGTCTTCTGCCCATTTTTAATTGGATTATTTGGCTTTTTGTTGTTGAGGTGTTGGAGATTTCAATAAATTCTAGAGATAAGTCCCTTATCAGATATGTCATTGGCAAATACTTTTTCCCAATCTGTAGATTCTCTTTTGAGTCTTTTGGAGAAATCCTTGGAAGAACATAAAAATTTAATTTTTAGAAGGTCCCATTCATCTAGCTTATCTTCTGCTGTTTGTACATTTTGGGTTATGCTTGATATTATATTAATA